ATGTGCGGTGGACCTGGGCAAGATGTCACAACCGTTGACTAAACAATTACTTTTGAGGAAGGACCTGTTCCCATTCGCATGTGAATAGCATCACAAGGCCATACGATGTGGGGTGCCTATCCTAGAGCTAGAAGTCGAGAATTGAACACATGGATTTGACACGTAGCCGCAAGATTTTCGGACCTTGGTCAGCCAAATAGCAGCAAGGGAATTTTATTATTGGTCACCTGCCACTAGGATAAGACAAGAGGGTGAACCCCAATATAGAATTCTATTTAAATGTTCACATCGCAACTCACCTCCCCTAGTGAAAAAACGGGGGCAAAAATATGCATGTGTTTTTCTCAGGGCATAACATTGAGGGCTTCACGGGAGACAAGCCTGAAATCATGCGGCCAGAGCACTGAGAGAGAGTTCCTCACCCCAAATATGCCCAAACATGCCCAAACTATTGCTATATATAGTTATAAAAATATATGAACCGATGGTTTTGGCGGGTTGATTGCTAGCGTTATTTTTTTGCTCCACTTGTATCCATTTGTGGATGAGGGTTCCTGTACCATGGTGTACCCGTACCCCACTTCGATGCGGCAAACATGTTGTGAAACAGATCGCAGTGTTGGAGAGCGCCGAGAGCCTTGGTTTGGCCTTGAGGCCGATGTCTCGGAAGCGACTCGTTTGGGATCTCCTGGCACTGATAATTTTGTCCGCGGAAGTTGTCCTGCAACTTGGCCAGATTGGGCGTCAGATGAGTTCTGCACGGTTTTGGATGACCATGCAGCACCATCATGCTCCTTTTTGACACTTTTGAGTATTTCTGTAGGGTATGTCGGGGTACAGAAGTTTTTGTCCCACACCCGTCTACAGAATCTACACAAACATTTTTCAGTAAACTTGGAGAATTGGCTGCCCTCAGCACCTTCCCAACCTCATTTCTCCGAACATAAAGCCACAAAGCCAAGGGCAGCTGCACACTGAGAGCAAGATAGCAGAACAATCAAACATGAGTTTGACTTTCGTTCTTTCAAACACAAACCAAGGTTCCCACTCACTGCCTTTGAGCAACTGGCCGCTTTGCTGCAGCGACCTAGTGACCCAGATGTTTGGGAACGTCTGAAGTTCTGCCCCATGGATAGAACAGGAATGAAGAACTCTAGAAGAAAGGCATGATTCAGCATCTTTTTTTGATCTAGTGAAGGTTCTGTATCAGTCAGCCCCAGGTACAAGGCTTATTTATTCTATCCAGATCCGTCGTGTTCGCATTGATCCTTTTTGTAGTGCGACACAGGTTTTTAGAGATATAGAGAGAGACACTTGGAACGGTGGAACCACTAACTATGCCTTGCCACTCACCGGTCTTAAAATCTTAGGGTCCACGGGGATGCTTCACACTTTGCAGGGATAGTCAGTCGTGAAAGTCCAAGATGTTGTTTTAAAGGCGAATAAAGGCCTCCGGGTGGTGGGGGGCAACTGATGCGCCCCAAATGCTAGGGGCACCATGGGCACGCATTTTTGTGGCTTGTGATAGGAGCAACATGGTTGGTTCTAACATGCTTGACAAAGTTCCACGTTCAACATTTGACAGCGCGCACAAGCAATTATTGGTGGGCCTGCACTTCGGGGGTGATTAGGTGATTTAAATTTAACTCTGCGACCACGCATGTGCTTCAAATGTAATTTGACGGTTTTGTAGCAAGACATGCTGCCAAGTTCTGAATGGAAGGGGCAAGGCTAGCCTTCTGCCTACCATCTGGCATAGCAGAGCATGTGGCGGGAACGCGACGTTCCAAGGAAGCGATCATGACAACTGCAACCTTTTTCATTACCTTCGATTGGATCTCTGCTCCTTAGATGAATTTTTTTGTCACTAGACATCGATATGATTGACGCTTCACACAGTGGTCAAGGAAAGTCAGGTCCCCTTTAAAGAGGCCTTACTTTTCTCTTTTCATCTCTTTTTCTTGATTTTTTAGAAAGCAGCTTGGACCGCAGAGCAAACATCTACCACTCAAACCCATTCTACTGTGTGCTCACGCTGTTCTTTCCCTTTGGATCCTTTTTATTGTTTCTCGGACAAACACGGCCTTTTTCAACGCAAATCCTTTGCTTCCGAACTTCGTAAAAACTCAATGTCCCGAATCTGTGACCCACTCTAGCAAGGTGCTGGATCCATCCGAGTTAGGAATGTTTCCGAAGAGTTGCCCTGTGTCCTTGTGGGGACCCCTCCATAGAGGACAGGACACAAACCGAGCTATATACCTCGAACGAGAGTGACAAGAGCCCTCGGAAAGAATCGGATATGGTGTTCAAAGTGTTTTCTGGCCCATCAAAGCACCACAATGCAGGCCGTATATTGGCTAATGGACATGCCGCTACAGCTCTTTTGCGGATTCAATACCTTCGAGGTGGGCCCACCTCACCTGGCCCAGGGGGCGCCTCGGATTGGGGAGTGTTTGCTGAGGCAGCAAAGCTCCAGTAGCTTCTTGTTACTAGTAGGAAGGCCAGGCCCCTAGTAGCGTCCTTGCTCCTAGCAGCGATGCCAGGAGCCCCTAGTAGCTTCTTGTGCTAGTGTGAAGGGGATCATTTCGCTGTGAACGAGTTCTGACAGCAAAGATCAGCAAAGTAAAAGTCTGAACGATCACCCGGTGCTACTCTGAGACACTGGTTCGACTGTTGTTTGCCAGGACTGGAACTGGATGAAATAAGGAAAGCCCCCAAAAGCCCAGGTCAGGTGGCGCAGCAGCTCGAAAAATGACTTTTAGGCACCACGAGCTGCTGCGCCACCAGCATGACTCTTTCAGGATGATCGATCATGATCGACCAGCAAGTTTCCCGAACCCTCCTCCGCTGGACACATTGGTCTCCGAACCTTGGACATTGAGCGCAGGGGAAGGTGGAGCGGCGCTTCTCCCGAACCTCTATGAGATATTTGAGGTCGTGGTTCTTGCTGGATGTGATCATTGCCCCTTAGCAAAAGTTGGCCATGTCCAATCTTTCAATCTCCCACTGCAGGATCCAATCATTTAAGAGAAGGGTGTGTGATTTTCGTTGATACTCTGAGGTCTCGATCGATTGGATTTCCTTAATTGGCTTTTACGACTCCCAGTTCACGGAAGCCTTAAGCGCCTGGGCAACATGGGAAGTTCCAGCCTGGCGAACAAAGCAGTGGAAGCGCTACAGCAACGCATTGACATTTTTATGTTTGGATGTTGGACTATCATCATGCGCGGGTTCCGGACACTGCCCCTGTTCATTTCTCGGCAGCATTTGCTACCCCTTGACAGGAAAAAGAACCACAAGTGTTTGGCGGGATTCCTTTTTGAGCTTCAGATCCAGCGACAGTCGCTGGGAACAGCCTGCAATTGAACGTTTTGCCAGCCGCTGAGGAGTGGGCAAGACTGTGCGTGGCATCCGCATCATCCGCGGGGTGCGGATCCTGCGCTTAGCCAAGTTGGCAGCCCGGGCGCAGATGGAGGTCTTCAAATAGAAATGAGCGGCTCATAGACATACTGTATCAAGGGGCCTCCAAGAAAATAACTTTAGAATACTTGGCATTCTGTCATCCGGTTTGTTGAAGTGCGGGACCTTCCAATTTTTCTATTTTTGGGAGAGGTGAGGTTGGAACGGGTTCCCTGGGCCACATTCTTTGGAGAGAAACACTAATTCACGAGGTCACCTTGGAAATGAGCTTCAAGAAGGAGAAGAGGTGTACCAATCACCCCACAAAGTTTATCGAGGTCCTTTCCCACGGCAAAGCCTTAATACTCCTAGATCCCCCTCATGCTTTGGTCCGGGTGGCTTGACCAAAATCACATCCAACGAGGAATCAAAGACTCCCGCCTGTGTTCGGCCAGAGAGTTTTTGACGTTCCTGAGTGAGATCCAAGGATTGCTTGTTTGCTGTTGCAGGTTGATTGTTCTTACGCTGCCATTGCCCTGTTGTTCTGGCAGTGGTGATAGTTGCACTTGTGGACCTTCAAGGGCTTTAGGCTGGAAGAATAGCATGACCATGTCAACTGGAGTATACCGGCATCGCTAGCACGGATTCCTTGACAGATCCCAATCCGAGCTCTCCAAGGCACCTTTCTTCCAGCACATCATCGACTCGGTACACTCAGACATCTCATTGCTACTCTTGAAGTTCTGGATCATCATTGTTATTGCAACTTGCTTTTCGGGGCGATCTGGAAGGATGGGTCGATCATGGCTACGGTTTGGCAGGTGGGTCTTCCTCAGAGATGAAATACCCGGTGGGAGACGGCCTCTGGACAGGTGCAATCTCCATGAGAACTGCATAGGACTCCCTTAACTCGGTGAATTGCTTCAAGTTGATGCGAAAGGGAACTGTGAAGGCATGTAGAAGCTGTCCGAGCCATGTGCAAAACCGCCCTCAAGCCTTGACGCTGTGTTGACGCTGTCCGGGCAGCCAAGCACGGCCGTGTCTTTTTCCTCCTGAGGCCTTTTGTCTGAACCACTTCATAGGCTGCGGTTGGTACTTGATTGGAAGCGTCACAGCGCAAGGCGGGGCCACAAACTCAGCTGTCTCACTCAGCCAACCCATGGAGCGCAAGGAGGGATTGAATGGCTGTCTAGCAGTTGTGGAACGTTTCGAGGGACTTTATCCGATATCAATCCTTCTTTGGCAACTGACACCCCGAAGCTGAAAGGGGTGGAGACTTAGAACTGAAAAACGTGGCAACTTAGGCTTGTTTGGGTTCACCGAATGGAAAGCCCATCACATGTCCGCCCGGCCAGATGGCAATGAGAGCTGGGTGGTGCAAGCAGGTCTGGCGGAACGCGGCGCTGGATACCAATATGCCACTGGGCCAAAGAAGGGACAAAACAAAAAGCTTTACCTGACTTCCAGTGGTGGGAGGTGTCCAAAATAACGGCTCCCTATTACAACGAACCGCCTCGTGGAGAACCATTTTTCCTGCATTCAGGATATTTCAGGATCATTTATTCAGTGCAGTGATCACTAATCTCTTTGCTCATCCAAATGTGGCCTCTGAGTGGATGGTTATCGATGTGTATCTCCGCTTTATATTGCGAAGTAGAAAACACGGTGCAATGAGCCTCCATGAGAGACATGAAAAACACCTCCATTAACTGTACCCAAGAACTCGCGTAGTTGAGGTCAAAACGGAAAGCACCGCAGGAGCAGACTGAGCAGACCACCGAAACCAGGGAAACCCGACTTTTTCCGGGTGGATTTCGTCACAGGTGACCGCGCTCCATTGGAGCCTTTCCAACTTTGCGATCGCGACCACTCGAATCCACGCGGTGAACGAATATGACGCCCGGATGCAGGCTTTGTCAAGGCATAGTAGTTTGGCGGCAGGGGTGGTGTTTTCCTTTTCAGAATGGATCGTTTCATTGAAACAGCTGAGTAGCTCCTGAAAAAGAAACACGTGTTTGAACCTTCATATCATCATTATTCTATATTGTTCTGCAATATTCTGTACTTGCAGAATACATGTTCCGCGCACGACTGTGGATTCTAAGCAAAGGCGTTTCTTTTGTCCCAGTTGTGCATCATTCAGGATCATTAGATTGATGTCACATGTCGATAATTATCCAAGACTAGCTCTTCGACCTTGAGGCTCTCATGAAACCCGAACCACTAATGATCCTTCCTAAGCCTCAAATGTTCCTGGCACTTCTGTAAAGCCAACTAGGAACTAGATGTTTCAGAGGCAGCCTGGAGGCTCTGGTGCCCTTTCATTTCCCCCACCATTAAACCGCTTTGAAATCATGAGATATCGTGACACTATATTGAATCGGTCAGTTCGTCAAGCCTCCACAGATTTCTGTGATACCAATGGACATTCCCTCGCGGTTTGCAGGAGCTTGAATGCACAAACTGTATTCAAAAAGGCGTGGATGACTAGCATTCGCAAGGCCTGGATCAGGAGGCACAGATACACCACGGTTTTGTTTTGTTTCTTAAAGTGTGTTGAAGAAGCCTTGGACCTTGGTTGCCTCGAGACTTGTCTCAGGAGCATTGGTTTGGTGTGGTGGTGCTCCTGGTCGGACTGGTTTGCTTTGCCAGCTGCTACTTGGATTTGAGGGAATGACGTGGTTCAAAGTGTTGAGTGTCAACAGGTTGGACAGGCGGAGCGTTGGGACATGTTTGGACGAACCGAGAAACTGAGTCAAAGGCATCGTGCATGCACATGCCTAGTTCATGTTCCGTTTCCCTGCACAAATGGCATTGTTTTCGAACGAGGCCTCGCTGCCATTGGCCGGCTGGTGACCAGATATCAGCAACAAGAGAGTGGAGCCATCTACAACGCCGCATGGCTGCGATCGGTAGGGTCAGTCGGACGACCAGTAGCAGCAGAGAATATATATATATATAGTTTTCATTAGTTTTCACATGTTTTCAAAACTAAAACTGCTCGGAGAGGACATGGTAATGGTCCATGGTCATGAAGTTGTTCCTGTGTGGGATGGGGCGGCTATTGAGTTCTTTGGGCTACTCACGGCTACTCCTTTAGCAACACCATCTGGGGAGTGAGAGTGAGAACAGGAAGGGGCTCGAGCAGCGCTTGTCCAGCCAAAGGCAGGCATGGGGTCCATGTCCATGTCCTTGATTCACACAGCTGCTTTTCCTCCCTTTTGAACAGCTACCTGTTTCCCACCATGTTCTGTGACATCCATGCAGATCGTGTGGGCACGTTTGAGCTGGTGGGAACTCGTCTCGTATTCCATCGTCGGGACGCCGTCTCTGAGGAGAAGACTTTGCGGTCCTTCCTGGGAGATCGATCTATTTCTCCAGCCGCTGGGGTTGGCAGCTCTTATGGGTACAGTATGTCTCAAGAAGAAGCTTCCCTAGCGAATCAGTTGAGGGATCGGATGAGTGGATCTGGACAGGCAAACTCCCACTTTTTCTTCTGGGACCTTCAGACGCTGGAACGAAGGCTATTTGCGGGTCTCTTTGAGATTCTTAGGGTGTCTCGTTGCCATCCAGTTGGCAGGTGAGTGGCGACAGTGTAATATATAACCGACCCTGTTGTAGGGAGTTCAGACAGCTGTCTAAGTGAGGAGTACAATGCAGGATAATTCGGCCATGTGCCTGTGCAAAACAAGACGCATAAAACATCCCTGGGGCTTGGTGGCCGCTTCGCCCGCAAGTGGACGACATATCACGTCACGTGCACCTTTGGATTCCGCAGAAAGACCACTGTCCGGAGATCTCTCAAAATAATTTCCAGAGAGGCAGTGAACAGTGAATATCTGGATACCACGGATACCATGGATACTGGTCAAGAGCCAAGCAATGGATTGTGTTGATTTTGTCTAAGCGTCAATGGTGTCCGCAGCCCAGGTCATGTCGCAAAGAGTCTGGCAGTTTCTGCGAGGCAAACGCCACTAGATTCCAACAGAGCTGTGTTTTCTTGGGATTGGGGGCTCGAAAAGACAAAGAGTCCCACTAAGTTCCATTCTTGTTCCACGAAAGAACATGCGTTGATGCATGGGAGAAAAAGGGATTTACTTTTTGGATCCTTTTGGTGTTTCTTTGGTTTCTCTGGGGAAATTTGAGTGGCAGCGCCCATGCAGCCCACGAAGCCGAACTGGGTATCGCCAGGCTCTAGGCGCTGGTTGGTGCCAAGTAAAGTACTGAGCCGTCTGTTCTGCAACAAAGATATAGACGAATATCAATAGATTAAACACATGGAGGGATTGACCTTTGTTGCGATCTCCATTGTCAAGCATGTTCTTCTTCCTCTCGCGCCAGAGCGAACTGGCAGGCACAGGTGGCTTTCTGCCATCTGTCCAAACTTGATGTGAAAACACCACATGAATTAGAATTCAGCTACCTCAAAGCTGAACTCCCATGCCGACAACTGCGCACCCGAAACCGTGGTCAGAATGTTCGCGAAGCGAGTCAACTCATCCGACGAAAAATAAACAACTGCACCATCAATCGTCGCGTTTGGTAGAGATTTGCCAAAGGATTTGTTTCTATGGCGGTTGTGTTTGCCAGGCAAAAGAAGATGATCTTGATTAGCTCTCATCATCGATGACGCTGCCTTTTATTTAACCAAGCCCATTGCTAAATCCTTGGACTGCGAACCAAATCACTACAGAATTCAGGTGAGATGCAGAAACTTGCGACTCAAACGTAGAAGATGCGTACCATTTGAAGAGTGGGCAGAATCTCTGGTGAACAGTACACAGTGGCTTAGAATGTGGTTGTTAGTTGGCCCTGCTAGAAAGCATCATATTTGGGCTGAAAAGCCAGCGCCGCTCCATCTGCATGAATGCCATATGGCTTTTAGTGGCTACTGTCCCAGCTGTGCGTGGCTATGTGTCAAAACCTCAAAAACCTCGACCTGTTGGTACATTTTTGTTTCATTCTTTTTTTGGTTCACCTCATTTGATCTATGCTTGCTCCGTGCGACTGGCTGACCGGATGGTCGGCCCTTGGAGATCAGAATGCTCTTCCTTTGCGAGGTTGGTCACTCCCCATATGCCTATGGATGAACCTACAGTATTTGGCTATTTTTTGAATAAACATCCATCTGCCCATCTGCCAGCCCGATGTGAACTACAGAGGTTGAAGAAGGATTTGACACCAACAGCGTCCGATGTGCCACACGCCTGTTGCTTTTTGCCCGAGGGCGGAACCGAGCTCGTCTCTCTGAGCAAGATGTGGTGCTGCTGAAGGATCTGCCGAAGGCCGGACGGACGTTCTGTGGATTGGCCGTGACCACGTGGTGGAACGGTGGAACATGTGAGAGACGGTTTGCGAGGGTCAAGATCTACTTCACGAGGTTCCAGGTTGACCATCCCTCACATGCGAGAGCTTGATTCTGTTCTGATGGGGTCTCTCTCTCATGGGTCGCAATTGCTTACCTAACAATTCGTAAGTGTACAGTATATGTGCTTGCAAATTATATAAAGTAGTTGTTTCTTGACTAAACCGAGACTGACATGCCGACTACACCCTGTGCTACGCCGTGTCACTGTGCCCCGATTCGTGTGAAGGTCTTGAGGGTGGAGCTGCGCAAGGACGGAGGGTTCTTAACTCATTGCGTGTGGGTAGTTTAATGGCCAAAGTCAAGACAGTACCATTATCTGCAGGAAGTGGGAGGATTTTCGCGGGAACAGCATGGAAAACTGGCGGAGGGCCCTCACGTCGTACACTCTGTCGACTTTGTCCCGGTGACATAACTAGCGGCTGTATTTTGAGGATTTGCATCAACCAGCCGGCTCTACACCTGTTAATTGTTGTATTCTCGCAACCAGCATCCATAGGGTTCTGGACTGGCCTGTTTTGGCCAGTCCAGGCGGGGTTTTGAGATGGACAATGGCGGGGTCGTGGGACAATATGAGAAATGTTTATCGACAAAGCTTGAGAGAAGAATGAGGAGCCCCTAGTAGCATCCTTGCTCCTAGTAGTACAGCCAGGAGCCCCTAGTAGCTTCTTGTTCCTAGTAGCGATGCTAATGCCAGGAGCCCCTAGTAGCGTCCTTGCTCCTAGTAGTGCGGCCAGGAGCCCCTAGTAGCTTCTTGTTCCTAGTAGCGATGCCAGGAGCCCCTAGTAGCGTCCTTGCTCCTACTAGTACGGCCAGGAGCCCCTAGTAGCTTCTTGCTCCTAGTAGCGATGCCAGGAGCCCCAACTAGTAGCGTCCTTGCTCCTAGCAAGGCCACTTTGATTTACTTAATTACTATAATATAGATTGCTTCCTCAACTTTGCTAAGCCTTGGGACTGGCGATTGGCGAAGGCAATGGGCTTCTAAGTACGAGTGGGCATGTTTCAGAATGGTGGGTCGACGAACAATTGGTTTCATCATGGTTTCATCTGTCTTTCTCGTTTGAGATTTGAGGCTCGTGGATTGAGGTACGATCAAGTACCCAGGCCTTCACTGCAGTGCCTCAATTTGTGGCCTGGAGGAGCCAAAGATAGCCGAAGTGAGTTGGTCAACTTGGACGTCCACATCATCCCATGGAATCCATGAAGCCATGAAGTTCATTCCATTGTTCGTGTGTCGTTAGATTCCAAACTTTTCCGGCCATGGCCATAAGAATTCCAGTGCGGCAAATGAGCGGCAAAGTGGTAGTTCTAGAGGCCTGGCCAGATATGAGTATCGGCGAATTTAAGCAGCAGCTCAGAGGCTGGCAGCCAGGTCATCTCGATGACTTGACGCGCAAGATGACCACGGTAGAACTGGTGCTCGAAGGCCAGACGCTGGAGGATGGGACTAGTCTCATGGCGGCAGGCATCACTCCGGACGCACTGGTGCATGTCCTGTACTCTGTGAATCCAATTGAGACCTGCTGCATCGAACATTCTCCTTGTGACGTCAGCCACTTGCGTGTTCTGGTGATCCCGGAGACCGTGACGCGGATCAAAGATCTAGCCTTCAGTGAGTGCTTTTCTTTGGTAAGTCTTACCATTCCACCCACTGTGACCAAGATTGGGGAGTGTTCCTTTGAGCTTTGCACGTCTTTGGCAAGCGTGACACTCTCCGACTCTGTGACTGACATTGGAGACTGTGCTTTTGAGGGCTGTAGCTCGCTGACCAGTTTTACTATACCCAATGGTGTGACAGAAATTGGAGAGGGTACCTTCCGAAATTGCAGTGCATTATCAAAGTTGACCATACCAGGTTCAGTGACGTGCATAGGTCCTGGTGCTTTTCAACATTGTCAATCCTTGACCAGCTTGACACTTCCCAACTCTGTGATAGAGATCGGAGGCTATGCCTTTTACGCTTGCAGCTCATTGATCAGCTTGGTGCTTCCGGACTCTATGAGTCGACTTCCGTGCTGTGGATTTCAAGGCTGTAGCTCCTTGACCAGCTTGAGAATCCCGGAGTCTGTGACTGAGATTGGAGCCTGCGCCTTTGAAGGCTGCATATCCTTGATCAGCTTGGACGTTCCAGAGTTGGTCTCCTGCATTGAAAGCTGTGCTTTCGCAGGTTGCAGATCATTGGCCACCCTAACCTTCTCCAGCACTTCGGTGACTTCGATTGAGACCTTTGCCTTTGCCAACTGCAGCTCTTTGAGCAGTGTCACACTTCCAACACAGGCAAAGATCGCGACATTGGCTTTCGCTGGCACTCCCTTTGACCGAATGTGATTTTTTGGCTCCTCACCCGAATCTGGCGGTAGGGCAGAAGCCCGACTAATTGGGGTTCATGCGGGAATGCCTGGAATGCGTGGGGTCTGGCATTTGATACAAGCTGATGTGGTGGAATCTTTGAAGAAGTGGAACCTTCGCCACAGTGAAAAGGAACTGCCAGGAGTGCGTTCAAATGTGTCCAAACCACTCCAAATCACCAAAACAGTGAACCTCCGGTTGCATGTTGAACCTGAGAGAGGATGAACATGAATGAACATGATGGAGCCAGGAGACATCGCAAGTCGCAAGTGGAGCTTTCTGGGTTTTGGCCCAAGGCAATCTCACATCATAGGGAGTGGATCACTCATGGCAAAATCCACAAAATTCTGCGTTTAAAGGGTGGAACTTCTCCCGCCCCGGTCGCACCACGTATAGTTATAATTTATACACATGATCCTTCCCTAAAGGATTGAATGGTGCTTCGTGCTAGTTGGGGGAATGAGATTTTGGGGGCAATCAAGGTCGTGTGACCTTTGTTACCCAAGAGCCTTCTTGGAGGGTTTCGGTCGTTGAAACGTTCGCAAACCGATGTGACGCAAACCATCCGCGCAAGGACATGTACATGCCTTTGCTCTCACACCATCCTCTTTTCCAAGGACCAGCTGTGGGCAATGTGCAAGCGAACAGCAAGAAGACAATATGCACTAATCAGTGCCGGCCGATTGAAAGCACATGACTAAGGGGCCATCGTAATTGTAGCATATTGTAGCCAAAGCCTTTAGCACTTGTGTACTACTAGGAACAAAAAAGCTGTTAGAAACAAGTGCCACGCTAGTAGTAACAGGTGCCTTACTTACTAGTAGTAACAATGTTTGCGAATTCCGGGTCTGGGATGGTGATGTTGAATCTGTCCTTCGAGCGACACTGGGTTTGTCCTGGTATGCCGGACAGGACTGCAACTCTCAGACCCACACATCATTGCAAAGATGTGCGATCGAGGCGCTGTGGTTGGTCAGGAGATCAAGCATGGATAGGGCACACCTTGTTGATCAGTTATCAAACACCTAACCCTGTACGGATTGCTTCATGAAACAGCAACACTTGGACGCACTTGGAACTTGGACCATCCCTGAGCCCAACAGCACGAATGACGGATGCACTACAGAAACTTTTCGACGAGTCCAAGACCTGAAGTCTCTTCGACCAGCAATCCTAGGAGGCTTCCGTTGTAACGCCTTGGTCTGAGTACACGAGCATCCGACAAAATCTGCGAAGACTAAAGTATATAGTCATACTGTGGACATTTGTGACCAATGGGGGCCGACCCATTCTAGGCAGTGCCCTTGGGCTGGATACAAGATACAAGATTTTGTCCGGCAATCACAGCTGACATGTGGGCAATTTGTGAGACATCCATCAGTTCCATAGACGTTCCTTGCCAAAACGTGGTGAGTTGGATCGTCAATCTCCTGTTAGATCGTTTGAAAGCAGAATCTGTTCAGCGACGCGGACTTCTGTGTGCAGGTCTCAACTTCCGCACCGCTTTGCCCCTGGAAGATATCTTCTCAAGGGCGGAGAAATCCACCTACATGTGGCCGTGCTGCATGTGGCGCTACGGTCTGTCTTGTTGCTCTTTTTGGGGGGCTTGGTAACACGGAGAATCTTTCAACTCTTGCAAGTGGCCTTTGTATATTTAGGGGATCCGAATACAAGTGCCCTGCCCAGAGGGGTCCCACCCACGCTGCCAAAAATGTGCTTCACGTACGCATATGATAGGTTTGACTGGATGCACCCAAAACAACCACAATCACAAAGGTTTCTACGGTTTCTACCAAGGCCTTCGGAACCATAGTACGAGCTGATTCACTAGTCACATCTAGTCACTATTATGTTACTTTTCCAGCGTGCACATCCATGCAGATGAGTTGCTACATGTGAGAGGATCCAATTGCCATGACAACGCTTAGGCATCTCAGACAATGCGAACATGCACTTCACTTGCTATAAGCACAACACATGTGCATGAATCGGATGGGGCAAATACGTCCAGTAGCTAGAAGCATCTAGAAGCCCATTGTATGATCCTCGAATCCTCTATGTACAGAAGAAACTGTATCCTTACCCTGCTTCAATAACAATGAAAAAGTAACCCTTGAAGACCAGAATCCAATCAGATTCAATAGCTCAAACCTTGGAATTTCCGTTTTACCCATGAGTTGCCCGTGGCCCATTTCGTTGCCAAGCTAAACAGACTCTGGAGTCGATAAATCTCTGCCTCGGCTGAGGTATTACATCATCAGTGGAAACCAGCTCTACCACATCGTCCGGCCAAACCGCCGGGCCAACACTGGCGCGGTGTCTGTCTCCCCTGGAGAGCTGCTTGATCGCATATGGTTTCCTTTGCTATAATCATGATGGACATCTTCTTCATATACCTGCTTTGGGACGTCATAGGACGTCGAATATTTGACCCACAGCCTGAGGGTACTCCCTTCCTCAACATCCCAATTTGTCCGACATCTTGTTTGTGCCACATGCCGCAAGAAACTCATGAGAGGGCCCTCAAATGCGCCCAATACATTTGGCGCTATGAGGGATGTTCAGTCGTAAACAGGTGAAGACAGTTTTCCAGCCAGCTGATGTCTCTGCAGAAGTGAGATCGTTGCCGAAATGAGATGACACCAGGTGGGTTGGTGAAGGAGCACTTTGGTTTGCCCCATGGTTGCAGCAAGCTGTACGGCTGCGCATTGGGGCAAGTCGAGAAGTTGAGTGTAGAGCAATTAGCAGGCAACACCTTATTGGAAAAAGACTTGAAGAAAAGAAGCTTCCAGCTTCCAGAAAAAGATACTGTACATTTGGATTACAAAGAGCCTTCTGTGCAACACATACTTAGGATGGATGTTGTTTGGTTGGTTGCTTTGTATGGCCTGAACTTTTGAAATGATAGCATCCTTTCGGGTTGGCTAGAAACTATGAAGTTTCCTTGACATGTCCTGAATTTCTACTGACGTCAGCCCACTCCCTCCCGCTCCACTTCCGGTACCCGGGCACCCCACTGGCAGGTGAGATCCATTGAAATCATATTGTAATATATTATATATATATAAGATTTGGATCTCCAGTTCCAAGCAAGCATTCGTCGCTCAGGAAAACTGGGCGCACTTTGGCTGGCTTCGGGCCAAGACAGCCAGCAACTTCGGCTAAAATCCCATCTCAGGAGTACAGCAAGGAAAGGAACAAACTGGCATTGCAGTGGAATAGATCTTGCACCATCAAGCAGCTGTTCCTCCAGGTTGTTAGTTCTTGTGTATCCAGCAAGCCAACGACTGTACTTGGTTGGTCTTTTCAACTTACACATGCATGCTTTTGACTCTCTTAATCTCAACTGAGCCAAGCTTGCCAGTTGGCGGCTTGCATGTGGAGCAAGCCTCGCTTCTGACATATCAGATCTCCTTTAAGGTTCCGACTGTGCAAATTCATGGTTCAATCGAAATCCAAACCAACAAGTGTCCCCCTCGTTGTGACGCTGTTTCTGAGGTGAGTTGCTTTTGGTCAATGTCGACGCATGGATGGATTTGTGTTTTTGCTTTCTTGCATTCAAGCAGGAAACCACTCAGCTGTAGCTAGGTCTAGATGTTGTCCTCGGTTAAAATATTGAGCTTAAATGCACCAGGGACAACACTCGAGAAATTGCTAGCAACCAGATCCGCAAGAGGTTTCTTTATCAAGTCATGAAACGGTGCAATGACGTGTTTATAACTTATAACTCCCTCATGAAATGGTGAAGCGCAACTTCAGACCACCTCTACTGTATCGACTTGCTTACAGACATGCAACTCTGCACCTCTAAGTAGAACTTGTTGGCAGTCTTGCAAAGCTCGTTTTGTAATAGCAGGCAGCAGTGAAGAGAGACCACAGGTGACCACAGGTCAAATGTTTGTACGTCTCATTGTGCATGCCTGAAGAGGTTTTATGAGGTTTTTACAATCTTGCGGTGCTTTGTGAAGTTTATATATATATATAGATGGTAACACCATGATCTACATCAGACATAGCCCTCACCCTTCCCCTGTTTTGCTCTGTCCTCAGGACACCTTTCAGCAGGTGGCCATGAAGTCGCCCTCGCCCTATCTAGGACGCCGGTTTTGGCATTCGCCTTCAAAGCAGAAATACCGCGAAAGGAACTCCTGCATGTTGAAGTGTAGGAGCTAGGATCCATAGGATCTATGGCAGGATATCAAGTTTTGAGTTTGTTTTTGTGGCCTTAATATCGCTGTATCGCAGTCATAGACCGCCGAGCTGCCAGGAAGCACCATCTACAAGCAGGAGACTTGTCCACTCTAGCAGGGACGGGATGCTCTGGGAGCTGTCAACATCAAAGGCAGATGCCCCATGATGCCTCCATTCAATTGCTTCGAACTAACTTTGGGTTTAGGTACGACTTCATTAATGGCATCTCCCGCTTTTCGAGAGCCAAGAGACACTCGAGCCATGCAAAGTTGTGATGCGTTCTTGCGCAGCGTTCCGGAAAATCATAGTTACTCGACTGACTGCCCGACCGATCCAAACCGATTCAGCGTCCGTGATTGCGTGATGAGAAGACCACTCGAGTGTTTCCTCCTAGGTTCCTTGAGGATTTCGACCGTTTCCATGGCCAGTACGGCCTACTGCGACTAGACGCCTGAGCATTTCGTAGGATTCTTTAAGTAAAGTCCACAACACTCAATGAAACAAGATTGTGATGGATTGTGGCAAATGCGCCAAAATGGCCAACAGATGGGCTGAGTGCTTATTTCCGGTTCCGACACTTGGGATATCACCAGCTTCAGCCTCTTGGTGTCGGCCATCCGCCCCACATCATTTAATCAGTTCTGTCCAAGGATCACTAGATTTCATGCATCCCCCAAAATACCAGATCATCCATTGCGACCCTTCCAGGACTCCCGGTGTCCCTCTTCCAAGGCCTGGGTGAAGCGCATCAAGGAGGACGTGAAGCACGGCGAGGACGGCGTCACGCGGCTCTTCCTGGGGCGCCCCAGTGACCTCGCCGGGGAGAGACAAATCATCGAGCCTTTTGGGCACAACGGAACTCACGGAGGTTTCTGAAAGGGTGGAGTGTGGAGTTTGGTGGAAGGTTCTGGGTGTGGAGAATGAGACTTTGTCATTTCATACTGTACCATACTTTCTCCCTTAGTTAACAGTCAGGCTGCTACCATTTGCTCCGTCAAACGCCTCGCATCACATTTCACGAAGGAGGGGTCATGAGCTCTGCTTGTAGACAAGTCCATGATGCTTCTTTGATCTTTTGCTCATTCCAAGGCAAATCTCAGCAGCAGCTTGGCTAGCAAGTTTGAAACCATGCCTAAGTCTGCAGTTGCTACATGTTATCACAGGGGTGCTAGATTCAAAACTCAGTTTTGTCATTTTCGGGAAATACCTCCCTGTGATGGTCTAGCATTCCTTCATTTGTAGCAATGACAAGGCGCAGAACCCATTTGGCTCCATTGATGCGTCAATTCCTAGGACGCATTTCCCGATCTCGCAAAGAAGCACGATCGCACCTCCGAAAGAATTGGTCAGGATGGGGGAAGGATTTCAACTCAGCAAGATTATATACCGTTAACTAGGAGCAAGAACGCTACAAGGGGCTCCTGGCATCGCTACTAGGAGCAAGGACGCTACTAGGGGCTCCTGGCCTTGCTACTAGGAGCAAGTTATATTACAAAAGAAGAGGATCTCATGCCGAAGAGTCAAGCTACAGGCTGGGTTCACTTCACGGAGTGAAGGTGATCTTGCATGGATGAGATATTCCAGAAGATTCTATCGTAGGGTGTTCTTTTTGAAGGCTGCAGACCTTTCCTTGGTAGATCCGGGAAGAAGATCATGGGGGCCATGAGAGCAAACGGGCAATAGTGGTCCTTGCGGTTGAGAGGCAACGATTGAAGATCCAAAAATACATTGCCTGACGAGTACTGTATTAGCAGTCTTCAATTCTCGTACCAAGAGCCGCTAAGCCTTCGAACCACAGGCTGGTTCAGGATTGAATAAGGACTTCCTGGGTTTCACGTTCAGATGACCGCATTGCCCCAAAGTCATGCATCTTTTCCTTCCAGGAAGGGGCCACATGGTTGGTGGAGGGAGCCATAGGTTTGTTCTTAACAAGCTAACCACCTGATGAGCCTCTAACACGGAGTGTTTGCCACAAGATGCCACAATGACATGCTGGTTCCGTGCAGGATCCAGGGTTTCAGGATGTTTCAAGGCTGCCTCTTTTCCAGAAAAAGAACTCTTGTGGTGTTCAGCCGATCAGCCTTGCCTAGGTGTCATCAGCGGCTGGTCCTCAAGCTTCTCCAGCCGCACCATCTCCTTCGCCTCAGTGGGCGAGGTGGGGCCCTGAGGGTTTGATGAGCCGCGACATGTTTTTTCTTGGGCAAACTGAAGGGAACAGAAATAGCCCCTTGTAGCTCCTTGCTCCTAGTAGTAAGGCCAGGAGCCCCTAGTAGCTTCTAAATCAACATAATAGCTTCCAACCTAGAAGGAATGACCTCCAACCTAATAGCGATGGCCTCCGGAAGCAATGGACAGTCGACCATAATCGACCTGAGTCCTCTTTGATCGTCCCGACTGTATCGGGAACGCAGCAAGAACCGAGGCCTTGTCCTGAGTTTGACCCGATCAGCAGAGGTTCTGAGGCAAAAATGGACCCGACCAACGGCCCCTGCTTTTGGCAGAAGCATGCAGAAGCATATTTCTGGGGTGTGCTGCAGCCGGCTTGAAATCCGTGGAAAGCAACATTGATACAGTACGTAGATGTACATAGCCATCCGTCGTAACTAGATTAGATATTTGTCGACTGACTTCTTTGTCGATCGAGGCAAACCAACCACCTGGCCCCTTTTGTTGGGAAGGATTCTGCCAGAAGCTTTGACTGTAGTACTTCCACTAACCATTGGGAGTGGCGGATCCGCGATTTGCGCTTGACGCGTTTCACCTGAACCGATCGTTAGTTCATCGGAGAACTCATCAAGGCGCCAAGCTCGGAAGGTCATGGGATCCAACTGAACTGGATCTTTGTCCTATCAATGTTTATGAATGTCTATCAAGATGTCAGTCATCCTCGTTCTTGAACACAGTTCTTTGGACAAGTTTAAACATCATGTCCCTTTGCATGAAGTTCCACGGTATTGACCATCTTGACTTCAATTGGTTTGGCCATTTGACACCGTCGGCTCCTGCAATCCAAGACCTTCCGCTGCCACTTTGGGACAGCTCCCTGCCAGACACCAAACGGTGTGATTGAGTAACATCCTCGACTCCGAGAGAGCTCTCGAAAGACTCGAAAGGGTCACAAAAGCAACGCACAGATGAGAACCTACCCTTGCCATCCCTTGCCATCCCTTGCCTATCAGACACTACGTGTCACAACCCAGATATTCCAGAAAACCATGAAGGGCTGGTTGACTTGAGTGTCGTTTTGGCCTGGATGCAATGTGTTCTTTGACATGAACGTTTCTATCCGAACAATCCACAGATCACAGAGTCGGAGGTTGTTGTGAAATGAATAGTATTGTATAACTGGCAAGTGGACCTAGTCAGCTCGATATCTTATCTTCAAGCCAGGGGTCCTCGAAGTCCAAGTCACCATCAATCTGGGGCAGAGAGGGACGCTTGTTACGGCGTGGAGCAACTTCCAGTCTGTGAATCTACCAAGGCTCTGTTGCGGTTGTTAGCACCCACAAAGGAATGCGCGAGAAGAGATGAGACGTGTCTTGAATTACGCTTGTCAATGTTTCTCTGGGGTCGGAGTTGGGGAGACGAGCAAGACGAGCCCTCTCAGACGGGCTTTCAGGCCTTGGTGCGCTTCAGCAGTTATCCCGAAGGTGTGGGGTACCGTTTCGAGTTTTTCTCGATTGGGTCACTAACTACATCTAACTAGTACTCACTGTAGGTGAGCCAGAGGGATATGAAAGGAAGAACATGAAATGAAAGCTAATTGTTGCCTCATGTCTTTACATCGATGAGTAAATGGCTAGGGTCAGTCTCCCTCTGAAAATTTCCACTGAAAGCGAGCTGGACCCGCCAGCTCAGTAGACACTTTTTTTTGGAGTTCATCCAGCAACTGCCTGCAGGCCACAAGGAAAGATTTATCCAACTTCTCCATACTTCTCCACTGTTTTGTTCATAGTTGACCACCAATCCTGGGACATTGGACCAAGCAGCTTTGCTGCAGAACGTTGAGAATTCGGCAGCTGAGGCTCCTTTCTAGTGGATGGTCCAAGTTGATTGGTTGGTCCATTGGTTGGTGGTCCTTTCCGGACACCTGGCTAGGCGACCTCGTCAGCTGGGCCACCACGCTCAGCGCCATGGCCACCTGTCGGGCCTCCCAGACCACGAGTGACACTCGTTTGGAGTGCTTGTTTGGGCAGTCATACAACGGCATCAATGGCATACATTGAACACAAGAAATTTCAACAAGCATGTGTTTCTGATTGATCAAGGCATGAGAGTAGGAAGAGCCGATTTGAGCAGCTCAAAATGGTGCAAGCCATAGGAATGGGTTTGGCTTTTTCGTTCCCTAAGAACTTTGTGGCACTTGTTGCTTTCGAGGTGCGAAATGGGAGATCGCTATCGCCCTCTTTGACCAGTTGCAAGAGGATGTTGCAGAGCTGCTTGGTCGCCATTGCCGTGGCTGAACCGTAGAGGAACATCCAGACAACCAACAGCGACGAAAAGTATCGGTTTGCCTATATAGACCAATAGCGATGACCATCGCTATTGGGTTGGAGGCCATCGCTATATAGTTGACCATCTTCGTTGCTTGTCCAAGGGCTTTGTGTGTCGGCCTATCGGCTGAACGCCGTGGTGGAACTTTTCGGCCTGGCAGCGAGGGGGGAAACCGAATCCAGGCCCCAAGTCGCCGTTTGCGGCTGAGGGTGCCTGACATGGTCCTCAACATGCTTTTGAGCGCTTGCTCCAGAGCCATGTCCTGGGTTGGGATCCTTGGGAGATGGGGAGCCCTGAGATTGTGGGCGGGAGGATCAGAGAGTCATATAGAGTCATAGAGGATTTGGGGGAGGGAGGGAGGGAGGGAGGGAGGGAGCAGTTGTGCTGAGAGCGCACCAAACATAACCAAATCATAGCGTGTAAAGCGATAGGGCCACCCCAAAAACGACAACCTGTAAAGATCTGTAAAGTATATACATACGTCGGTCCATTCAACTTGACGTAAACCAACCAAATACTGTTGTGCACATTTACGCAACGGGCAAGACCGGGATTCAACCTGCGTGCCCGTGTTTCCTGCAATTGTCGTATCATATCATTTGTAAGATGATTGAACCGTTCTTCGCGATAACTTAGTGATCCATTTGTTACATAGACATCATAGACGAAGACCCCTGGCCAAGGGATAGACTCATGAACCTACATAGACAGCACCTCAAAAAGGATGTCCTTTATCGATGTTCGAGCCTGTTAGGAATGGATTCCAGAGCCAAGTTGAATCTCAATTTAAGCATGCAGATCTCCACAAAACCATGTAATGCGATAGGCACCCCAAAAACGCGATAACTTCCACTTTACGCCGGTCCGAATGACAATTGAATTTGACGGTGCCTCGCATGCCTTGAAGGTTTGCCTACTACCTCGCGAGCTGTCTATTTGTCCTGCTATATACCTGCAAGCCTATTTGAGGGGATTGCCTTTCTTGCACTGATGAAAAGGGTTGCTTTTTGATTCCAAATTGAAATCAACAACATCAAGCCTTCCGGACAGTGCCGGACAGCATGTGGGAATCAGTTCAAACGGACCTGAGATGGTGGACACCGCTAGTAGTAGTTGAGGTAGCAGTAGCTGAGGCAGTAGTAGTGTCCTTGCTCAAAGTAGTAAGGCCAGGAGCCCCTAGTAGCGTCCTTGCTCTAGAAAAAAGGAAATTGCCCCAGATGTCTGAGGAACTGAGATTCAGTACGGTTCAGTAGGGGGCTAGCGCCAGGGGCCCGCCGACCCCTGGGGAGTGGTCGCGGTGGAATATGTGGAAGATGAGACTTCCCTCCTGGTTTGGCAAAGAGTCATGAACGTACTTTAAATCATCATGATTCACCTTATTTGTGCAGACGTTGGCTCCAAGGGTGGGAGGAGTGGGTCCTGTTTTAATCGACAGGGCTCGCTTCTAGGGGGGGCGATGCGGTGTGGGTGACTCGTTGTGCGGATACGTCAGCAATGGATTCTGACATTGATTCCAATACTCAGGCCAGTGATGTGGCCTCACGATATTCCACCAGCCCCTCTGGAAGCGTTCGATGAACCGGCTGTTGATCCGTTGACCTGTCCGATCACAGGTGCCGCTTTCGAAGCTATTGTGCATTCTGCAGCCGTTGATACAAAGCCAACGTCCTCAGACCTGAATCCTTTTGTGGTGCTTCCATCTCATGCATATCGATTCTGTGTGTTTATACAGCGGGCTCTTCAACAACCGGTTTTGAGTTGATTGAACTCTTTAGCAGATCGAAGTTCAAGCCACACCCGTTCGGCCCATGCCGAAGAAACTCTCCGTCACTGTCCACGTCGTTCGGATTCTCTTCTTCGGCTCCAGTGGCAACTCGCCGAACACAAACCACGTATGGCGCCCCAAGGGACCGCGCGCTGCCGCGCGCCGACGTGCGCGCGGTCCCTTGCAAGGTCCTACCGTAGGTGGCGCGCCCAATACCGCGCAGCAAAGCCTAGGGGGGGAGTCGAACCCGGGGCCAAATCCTGGGCGATGCTTTTCCCGCAATAGATCGCGAGACTTAAACAGTTTACACACTTGTCAATTTTTTGCACACTTTTGCAGGTTTTTGTGAATGTGACGGCAGCGTGATATCGCCCACCGCTCACCGGAGTCCTTCAACAGGAACACGCCGGCCCCGCTCCGCTCACCCTCACGTTCGTCGGCCTAGCTCGGGGTCGGCGGATTTGATATCCTGGCGCCAATGAACAAGACGTAGGAGATCACAGAAATTATCCTGAGACCTTGATTAGAGTTCCTCGCAAGTATGTACCCCAAGAGTAGCCCGGCTGATGGCCAGAACCCTGAGATGCTTGCTGCCCTACCAGCCAGATGTGTTTCTTGATCAGATGATTGCGATGACTTGCCTTCAGAAGTGGTACCACCAACACGTATCAACAAGTCATCGTTCTGAAAATTGGTAGCAGTTCTTTGAGGCAACAATTAAGCCTTCCCTCGTGGGACCCCCGTATCCAACGACGCAATCGCCACACCCCCAGTCAACCGCCCTGCAGCGTCGGTCCAGGTCACCGCCTTGCAGCTCTTCACCGAACAGTCGACTGGGCGTCCGTGGCGTCCGGAGGCCAGCGGGTTCGCGCGCCGTCACGTGGATGCGGATCCAAAATGACTTGGTGTCGCTTGGGATCCAACGGTTGCATATATAATATATTATGTATAGTATTATGTATATTTATTTATTTATTTTTTGAGGGCTCGAGAACACCGTGAGGATAGCTTAGAGCCCCAAGGTCTGTCAAGACCGATTTTTTTCCTCTGCGCTTTTTGAGCCATAGCTGGGGATCGAAGTCCCGGGTGGCATCGGCGCTTGAGGAAGCGCAGATCTCGAGCCAGGCGGCTCCTACAGAGATACTCAAAGTCCCTGCTGCTGAGAGGCCGGGTCTTGAAGAGGATTTTCTCTGCACAAAGGTTGCTGCAAGGCCACCACGGAGGACAGGTTGTGAGGATTGCTGCTTTGGCAGATCGACCTCTGACATCGACCAGACGTGTGATGGCATGGAAGGCTCAAAGATGGAACCAAAGGGCCGAAGCATGGAGAGAGTCATGGCCCGAAGAAGAAGTGCCACGCAAGTCCAAGAAGGACAAAGGGCAAGCCAAGCAGAAAGGTCAAAATCACGGAAGTCAGCCAGTGATGTACGGCCACGATGGCAAGCCCATCGAGATCGACCTTGGTGGTACTACTTCATCATCTTCTTCAGCCAGTTCCTCGTCGCTAGAACAAGAGAATCGATCCCTCAGGGAAGCTTTGCGCACTCTGATTGCAGATGCCAAGAACCCGGAGAGCATCCCAGCTGGCGTCAAGGAGCTTACTACGGTGGATCCGCGGGAGGACCTTCGAATGAGACAGCGCGAACTCAACAAGGAGAAGAAGGCGCTTACGAAGGTGGAAAAGATCCGCTCCGACATCGAGAAGAACGAATCCAGCTACTCGAGGTGGAAGCAAGGGATCCAATCGGGACTGGAGAAAGCCGAGAAGCGCCACATGAGTGTGCTTCAACAGCTTCAAACGGATTTGAAGATGATAGAGGCCACGGGAGAAGACAAGATGGATGGGGAGTCCGAAGAGGAAGAAACCGAAGGTTCCAAAGCACTGGCCAAGGAAGTCGACGAGATGAAGCAGCACATGGGACAGATGGCTACATACGTGCAGAAGATGGAGCAAAGGAATTGCGAATTGGCACAGCAAATGCAATTTCTGATCTCGGCGGTCAAGGACTCCAGACCCTTCGAACCTCTCACCAAGGACTCGCCTCAGATCGTGCGGACTCCTCCAGGACGAGCTTTGCTTGCGGGGGGAAGGAAAGACGACAGCAAAGAGCGATCCAGATCGCCAATGAAGAGACCAGCTCCCGATCTTGTGGAGCAGATCGAAGGTCTTGGCGAGGTGCCTGTGGTAATGGCAGAACTGCTGGAACAACTTCCTTCCGAACAGCACAGCCAGATCCTAGCTATGGTTCGCGCGGAGCCTCAGCGTTACAACTCACCGCAGGCTGTGATGGACCTGGCAGCTTCGATTCAGACTCAGATTGCTGCCAGTATTCAGGTCAAAGGTACTTTCGAGGCAGGAAACAAGTCCTGTGCTTCCAGTGCCGCATTACAGCCTTTTCGCAGAGAGTCCAAGGCACGTCTTGCCAAATGCCAGAAGGGTACAGAGAGTCCGGTATCACCTCTGGATGCAATGACGGGATAGGTCAGGTGCGAAGTGAGAATGGTTTTGTCCACGAAGGGCAAGATAATTTCTTGCTTTCTCAGGAGTGTCCGATTTTCTGCAGTTTGGGCCTTCCCTTTTCCCATGTTGGTCAAAGTTGCAGGTTTTGCTCGGGCATTTTCGCTAGGGGTCAGTCTCGATGGGGTTCCTGTCTTCTTCGACAGATGATCGAGGCTCAAGATGGTGTTTTCTTTGATGGCAGATGTTGCTCTTTAGCTGAAGAGAAATCCTGGGTCAGCACAGTTCCTTTGAAGTCTGACTGCATTGACTTTGGGAGCCTTTTCAGTGATGCGATTCTAGTTTTGGAGGGGAGAGAGACTGCCGATTGTTTGGTCAATTGGGATGTAGCGGACCCACAAGCACACTGCGATAGGTTTGTGAGCCTTTGGCAGTGGTTTTCCGAGTTTGTGTGTGGCTTGGCTTTCTCATTTGGCAGACTTTTGGCTCTGCAAGCATTTGCTCTTGCCTGGGCTGCTCTCCTTGTTCATGAGTTTCAAGTGTTGCAAGAGATCTTGGTCTTTTTTGCGCGAGTCAGAGCAAGGCAAAGAATTGTGCCGTTTCCGCCAGTTTCGCTTGCCCAAGATTTCCTGAAGTTTGGATTAATGGCATTATGCCTTAATATCCTGATACTTGAGGCAGGTTTTCGAGATGAGGCTGATGACTTGGGGGTTCGATGTCTTATCTTTCTCTGCCGTTTGCAGGTCGGAGGGTTAGGCTTGGGGTTCTTGCTTGCTCTGAACCGAAGCCGTCGAGATGAAATCCTTAAGATGCCTGCTAGGTCAGACACGCACAGACATGTCCGACGCAGACAGAAAGCGAGATATTTTCGGGCGATTGCTTTTCTCCTTCTCATCGGAACAGGTGAGGCGACTGCAATTGGCCAAAGAAGCGGCCTTCCCTCCTCGGCTGCAGATGATCAAGAATCCTCTCATTCCTCTGGGCTTTGTGGGGATGAGAGTACAACCAGCAGTTTTCTCTGCCAAGAAAGCCAGCTCGGGATCCCGGGTCCCCTTTCTGAAGGTCATGTTGATGTGATACAAAATCGTTGTCACTTGCTTTCAGGTTTGGATGGACATGTGGTTGAACCCTTGAGCGCTCCACTGAGGTTTGATTGTAGTGGCTTTGAACCTATGTGTCGAGCAAATTCGTTGCTTATTGACGGCCCACGTTTTGCGTGTTTTCCCTGTGACCCCTATAGGGAACATGAAAGTGGGGATTCTTCTGATGTGTCTACAATCATGCAAATCCGATATGCTAGGCCGGCTGATGAATGGAGAACTGAGCCAAATCTTTTGCAGAATTACCTCCATGCAGTGGTTGGGGATTCCATCGAACCAACCACGTTGGTATGGCTGCATCAGGCAGAGTATATTGGACGATATGTCAGTTTCTCGCGTGCCCTAAGGGTTTCCCAAGGGGTTGATCTTGCCTGGCAGGTTCGACATGTCTGGGGCGATATGCTTCACAGAAGAACGGGATTTGCATTTCCAGTTCGCCCCCCGCCTTTCGACTGGGGAGGGCGCATTGTCACTTTGCAACCACATCTGATTTTGACAACCGTCCAAGGTGACATGTATTTTCCACTACTTGTTGACTTCCGAGATCAGTTCCTGAGAAGAGGCACCTTTGTCTTTTTTGGCAGGACATTCCCTGCAGCTTTACAACTTTTCCAAGCCGTCTCGCCACAGACCGATTGTTTCTGGGGAGCCGAATGCTATGTCTATGTTGGAAGCTATGGTCAAGAACGTGAGCTAACCTGGAATATGGTTGTGCCACTGTATGAAGGGGCTTATGTCCGAATGGTCGTGATTGAGAGGCCTCAACCCATGTTACGACAAGCTGAATCCACTTGTACGCCTGCCTCCGACTCAGGTTCCGCTAGGTCGGATGCATCCTCACATGATTTGTTTGTGGATGAAGATCTGGCTGAAACAGAAGAGATTCTCGTTTCACGAGACCAGACTTCCTTCCTACAACACGGGGTGCAAGAGGCTGACAAGTGGGACCGAAGTTGTCTGCACTCACTGGAGGAAAACACTGCAACCTCTTTATATCCAGCTTTGGCTATTGAGAGGCGGGTGTTGATGAAGAAGATGAACTCCTGTGGCTCATGCAAAGTGTCGCTTATTTCAGGGCTGTCTCTGACTTTGGTGGTGCAGCTGAGCGTGGTCAGGCATATCTGCAGGAGCTCAGGTTAACGCGCCGACTGCTCACAGATGCTTGGCTACTACGAGGAACTGACCTTGGATATGCACATTTCCGTGAAAGAGAGAATGGCATATGGGAAAAGAAGCTTATAGGCTGGAAATATGACCATGTTGACCAGATTCTTGGCCAGCCCTTCGTCATCCACCTTCGACGAACTGGCTTGTGGTCATCACGGATCATGAGTTTTTTCGAAGATGAGGGTGCACTCGAAGTGATTTTGCTCACAATTTTCCCGCCACCACTGATGCTCACCTTGGATGGAAGTTCAAGTGCCTTGCATGACACTCCGGTGTTAGCATTTATGCACGATACTTTCCCCTCGGATATGCTGCCACTTGTGGTGAGGCACACCATGACAGGGCAGATTGAGACACAATCTCTTCGATGCCTTCCAGGTTGTTGCCCGATGTTGATTTGTACTCTCCTTGGACTCCAAGACAGATGTGCTGATCCACTGAAAGTACAGATCTATTTCCGCCTACATGATATTGAGCGCACCTTCTATGGCTATGAGCGAGTCGGACTCCCGGCGGGTGCTTATGTCAACTTGGAGCTGCTGGATGTGGCAACGCGCAGGGAAGAGATGCCAAGGCAATACCCACTTAGGGAGCATGAGGTCTTGCTGACACCGAGACAAAGTGAGCCCTTTTCTCAGAGCACACTCGAACCACATGATCTAGAATCTCTGATGCAAATTGGAAATGCTATGACAACCTTGCCTTTGACGACTGGTACCGATGCTGGGAGTCAGGTTAGCGACCTTTTCTCTGTGACAGAATAGCGGGCCACTGAATTGGAACCTGTACCACTGCCTGAGCATGAAGTTCTGCAGTTGAATGGCATTATTGCTGGACATTCTGATGTGCTACAAGCCTATATCAGAGCTCATGCTGGACCTTTCAGTCGATCCCATAATCCTATCTATACATGGGTCCTCACCGAATCCACGAGTATCGAGCCTTTGGCAAGAGTGTGCATCATGCAAGAAGCAGTTTCCTTATCCTCCACTTTCCTGCGTGAGTGGAAAGACAGGATTGATGGTAGAACGGTTAGTGTCTCAATTGCTACCCCTGTGCTGCCTCCGCCTACATTGAGAGTGAAGCCTGTGGATGTCCTTGGCATTCCCAGTGATTTCTTGGATGCAGGCAGCAGAGTCTACCTGCTCGAGCTGATTGGAGACTTTTTGCCACGACGAATGGCGGTCCGATGTGGTCCTACTGACTCCTTTCAGATGATGGTCGAACGAGTGGGGTTGAGGGAACTTTGTGCTCTGCCACGAAATTCATGTTTTCTTGTTCATGCGGATGCAGCTGGAACGAGAATTTGGACAGGTCAAGATATTGTGAGGGAGAGACATGGGACGGCTTTTCAACTGGTGGTTGAACAGATAGATGCTTGTATGGAGCCGTCTTCTGAAGAAGCTTCCCACATGATGATTGGCTTTTGGCAACATGAAATGAATTTGCAAGTGCAGGCCCCTGATGTGACAGGACATAGAGAACCTGAACCTGCACTGGAGCCCCTCTCATTATACCAAGTCTTCCTTGAGAAGCGAGCTGCCGCCCTCTTGGGACTGGGACAGGACGATCCAGATGATGATCTTGATGAGCTGGTTCAGCAACATCTCCAGTGGCATCACACGGTCACGAGAATTGATCGGCTGACAACCCTCTACGGGTTTGAGGACCTTCACGCAGAAGCTCTTGCTTACCGAAGATCGAGAGGTTCATGGCCATGTTTGGTGGTTAGCGGCTTGATTCAAGAGATTGTGCTTTTCCTGGATATTGAGTTTGATGAACATCTTGATTTCCAGAGTCAGACAGTAAAAGCATTGATTCGGTCCAGAGTCGAACCGCGAGTATCACTTTTTTCAAGAGTGACGATGGCGGCAGTTCGCCCGCCGCTGACGGTGAGGGAGCAGGATGATAGCGATGACCTCTATGTCCTCATCGGAGAGGAGTTGAATCCTTCTTCTTCCCTGGTAATGGTGGTCATATGGGATCATCGGCAAGACGAAAGTGTTGATTTGCATCCTTTAGAGCTGCCTCAACGGATGATGACGGAAATGCTACTGGAAGAGGTCGGTATGGGAAGAAGATGTGGGCTACCATTTGTGGAATGTGTAGTCAAGCACTCCGAACATGAGCTGCCTTTGCTTATATCCTGGCGACCTTTCCCTGGAATGAAAATTGTGATTGATGTAGGAATCAAGAGATGTGACATTTGGCAGCAAGACTGGTCTGCAGGCCTGAGTGCTGCAGCAGCATCTGATTTCTCTTTGGATGGTGAGGTGGCGTGGTTGATGCAACGCCGAATCCTGCTTCGAAACAACTATGATGTACTTCGACAGTATGCAGCTGGATGGACGACGACCACTGTGGAGCTGACTTTCTGGTTCCACAATACGGTTGAAGAACGGATACAGCAGCATCCTGCAAAAGCAGTTTTTTCGGTTGTGACCTCTGACTTCCAAGAAGATGACTTTGCACAACTCATTCCTAGAGACGGGGAGATTGTACCTGTCGACCCTGCACCCATATTGCTGGTGCTCCCTCGACCGCATATTTTGGTCCTTGGTGTGGTTGCCCACCAGTATGTCCCTGTCTTGTGCAAGGTTAACATTGAGGGCAGACAAAATTTGATGTCGATATTGGTTGACTCGACTTATCCACCGGTCAGTGTTGATGCCATTTTCGACTTGGTGATGCCAGATCACCTCTGCCGTTCTGCGGCAATCTGCCATGCTCTCTACAGAGATGAGAGGAAGCAATTTTATCATGATATTGAGCTGCAAAAGGGAGATTTTATTGAACTCTTTTCCTGGTTTCTTGATGATGATCAGACATCCTGTGGAGACGATAGTCCTGAATCAATTTCATCGGATGAGATCTGGGATTCCTCTGTGATGCCTCACCCGAGCGTCCTGCCAGAGGACATAAATGGTGATGCTGATCTTTTCTCCTTGATGCAGACCAACCCACAGACTGATCGGGGGGTACGCATTGATGCGGGTCATCAACTTCGAATGGAATCAGATCTGTTGTATCGGGCAGTGGCGAGCTCATCCGACCACACACTTGCTTCAGTACCACAAGGAGGAACTGCAAAGCTCTGGCTGTTGGCGGCAGAAGCAAATGGGCTGCACGATACTGTCATTCGGGTCGAGTTGAGGCACCAAGTACCTGACTGGACAGGCTGGGTATGCGGGTCCTGGAGAAACAGACCGCCAGGAATCCGTTTGCTGAACGACCGCCGCCGATCTCATCAGAGAACAATGATATGCTGATCCTTGGAGCCAGTGCACGTGACATGGAGCAAGGGAAGCGGGTTCTTCTGATGGACTTGATTTATTCCAATGTCCTGCGCAGAGGAGCAGTTCGATTTGGTATTTTGATGACTGTCGCTGAAATTGTACGTCTTTTTGCCGGTCGTTCAATACCAATCGATAGCCCCTTGCTTTTCGCTTTTGAGATGTACTGGTTTTCTCCGGCTGGGGTCCGCGTTTATACAGCGTCAGAGATCCCCTCTGTGCCTGATGGATCCTATGTGCGAGTGGTGGAAAAGGCTAATCCATGTCGGAATGCGATGAGGCCACTTTCTCCGGACCCAGAACTGGTGCGATGGGCTGAAGCTGCAGGTACCCAAACCCATGAAAGCGATGCTGCAGATAATCTGGATCAGGACTCCATGGGACTCTTGCAAAAGTCGATCAAGAGTGATGTGAGGGATAACACTGCAACCCTTGACATTGAGGAGATGGATGGCTCGAGACAGGATGGACGGCCCTATGGGTTACGGCCTCCTTTGTTTCGCTGTTACGTTTTCTGGTGTCATCAGATTGCAGACATGCTCCGACCACCTGGCAACACTACGGTCTTCTGGCTGAGTACTGACCTTGATGATCTGGATGACTGGGTGGTCTACCATGGAGCCCTTTTTATCATTGACAGCAAGTTCACTTCGGAGAAGCAGGTCCTTTCTTTGAACGATCGACTTGACTTGCCAGACAATACCCCTCGTGGGAATGAGAAAGTCCAGCCTTTTGAGATTGCTCTTCCTGACTTCACGCCTTTTTTTGACATCATCTTTCAGAAAAGACCGAAGATGGATATTGTCTGGGAGGCGGTGATTCTGGCGCTCCCTGAGGCTGTGAGAGTAGAGGCACAAGAGCTTGTCGCCTGCCACCCGACTGATCTGACTAGTATCAGTATTTTCACGGACGGATCATGGATGCCTGAGCCTGGGGATCATGCAGCGGCCTGGGCAGTCATTGTCATTGGACATGGCACTGGCGGTGATTTCACTCTTGACTGTGACTATGGTCTAGTGGTCAGCGAGCCAATGGAGCAGGGATGGACAGGTGCACAGGTTTCAGATGCACGAGCGGCTGAGACAGCTGCCTTGATCAGAGCGATTGAACGGACGATTTACTCGGGAATGGAGAAACCCATTTGCTTCTGTTTCGATGCAGCGGCAGTGGGCTTCGCTGGAACTGGTACTTTCCGGACTGGAGAAGCTGACCGGCATGGCCGAATTCTTCGAGCTATGGTTGCAGCAATAGAGAAATTCCTGCCGCCAAATTGTCAACCGAAATGGCAGCATGTTAAGGGTCATCAGGGCAATGTCGGAAATGAGTTGGCGGATGTTGTAGCTAAAAGGTGCTTTCGTCTGCAGACTGAAAGGACGCTAGTTGCCAGACCTGATTATGTCCCTTATGTGTGCGGAAAGAAGTTTGCAATTGAGCTTCTCTGGCTTCTTTTTGTGCAGTTTCGACAGTGTCCGAGTTTTCCAGAAATCAGCGGCCATTCCATGATTATGCCTCAGCTTAGGCAGCCGTCAGACTGGACGGCTAGGGTACCGACCAGACTTCGTCAGCCGACATGCTATGAAGAAAAGAGTGCGTTTTTCCGCCTTTTTTTTGCCACTTATAATGTGGCCTCTCTTGGTGGTAGGAGGGGTCCCTATGTGGTTCAATATATTAAGGAACAGATGGACGCACACGGACTGGACCTGCTCTGCTTGCAAGAGACTCGATCTCGAGCATCCAGTCTTATTGTGTCAACTGGTCATCTGAGGGTAGTCTCGGAGGCACACCAGGGACACGGTGGAGTTGAGCTATGGCTGGCCAGGCGAGATGCCAAAGGAAGGCCAGTTTTCGACAAAGAGCATGTCCAGGTACTGGTGTCAGAGCCTGAGCTTCAGCTGGTGCGTGCAAGATGTCGCGGGGTCGAGCTTCTTATAGTGAATGGTCATGCACCGCACAGCGGCCACTCGATGGAAGAGATTGCCCAATTCTGGAAGCGCCTAGAGACGCTGGTCGCTGGCTTCCATGAGCGACATGTGCATATGATCGGAGGCATTGACGCCAATGCTCATTTTGCGGGAAGTCGAGGTTTTTCGATAGGGGACTTCGGTCTTGAAGAACGAACTGACAAAGGAGGCGATTGCTTTGCTGCATTCCTGGAAAAGGGTAATCTTTTTGTTCCTAGCACTTTTGAAGACATCCATGAAGGTGGAAGCTGTACGTGGCACAACAATGTCACAGGTGCTGGGGCGAGGTGTGATTACTGCTTTTTGCCTGCCGACTGGAGGATTGGAAAGATATCTTCTTATTTGCTTCCAAGTCTTGACGGAGCGCAAAAGGGCATTGACCATACACCATTGGCAACTGCAGTACAGATTCTCCTTGGCAAGAAGGTCCCCCAGACCACTCTGGCTGCTTTCGATAGGAGACGATTGCAAGCTGCTGACAAAGAAACCATCGACCAGATTTTTGAGGGTATTGCAATACCTGATTGGGATACTGACATTGATGAGCATATGACGCAAATCACGGAACAAATCCATGAAAGGCTTTGCAATGTTTTCCCAACTGAAAAAAAGCAACCTAGAAAGGGCTATATCTCGGATGTTGCGTGGCAGATTCGATCTGACAAGATTCGTCTGAGACATGAGCTTGGCCGTCTCAAAAGACAACTTCGGCAACAAACGATCGGAGAGGCCTTCGCACGACTGAGATGGGGAGCCCAGTCCTTTTGTCGAGTAGTTGGTCTTAGGCTTTTCTCTAGGGTGGTTCTCCAGCAACGTATGGTTGCACAAGCCACGAAGAAACTGCAAGAACAACTTCGCCATGATCGCACAATGTCCTTAGAAAGATTAGCTTAGGACTCCAAGCAGATGCCACCACGTGACTTCATGAGGGCACTGCGGTCACTTGGTGTGGCAAACACAAAGAAACCATCATCTATCCAGCCAATCCCATTGCTCAAAGGAGGTGATGGTGAGATTTTGGATACTGCAGACAAGGTGCGTGATTGTTGGAGGTCGTACTTCCAAGAACAGGAGGATGGAACACCTTCTGATCTGCAAACTTTGTTGCAGGAGGCAGATGTTATCTCGGACCGACAGACGCACCTTCCATCGTGGAGTGATCTTCCCACGCTTTTCCAACTGGAACATTTTTTCCGGCGTACAGCCAAAGGAAAAGCATTTTTTGGAGATGGTATACCTGGCGATCTTCTTGCGATGGTGCCAAAGCAGATGGCGGAGCTGCTGTATAGCTGTATCTGTAAAGAGATCGCATATGTCCGGGAGCCCATTGCACATAAGGGAGGATATCTCATTCCAGCATTCAAGAAAGGTGATCCGAGCCTCCCACAGAACTACAGATCGCTTTTTGTCAGTAGTGTGGTTGGTAAAGCGATCCATGCAATGTACAGGCAAGAGTTAGCTGAGGTCTTTCATGGGTGTAGGCTCCCATTTCAAATCGGCGGGCTCAAAGGACATGGGATCACTCAGGCAGCTCTAGTACTGCAAAGCTTTCAACGCCAGGCAATTCGGCAGAAGAAATCGGTCTGTTTCTTTTTCCTGGACGTTGCAAACGCCTTCTACCGTTTGGCTAGACAACATATTATCCAGGGGACGGACGACACTCGCAGCCCGAGGCAGCTCTTTGCGGCGATGAATCTGCCGACCGAGGCAGCGGCAGAATTTGAACAAATGGTCGCAGAACCAGGAGCGATCGATGCTTCGGAAGCACCAGGTTTTCTCAAGCGTCTCTTCAGAGAGTTCTACCACCAGACGTGGTTTTGTCTGCGTAATGACTCTGCTGTCATCAAGACCCGACGTGGCAGTCGGCCTGGCGACAGTTTTGCGGATTTGTGCTTTTCGTCCGCACTGACGAAAATCATGGAACCTATCATGCAGCAGTTCAGAACATTATATCCAGATACTGGATTGGTCTGGGATGGAGTCAGCTCGCCGGTGAGACGAGGCCCGATTGCTTTTGAGCTGGACTTCCTCATGCCGATATGGGCAGATGACTTGGCGTTGGCATTGAGTGATGCCGATCCGGCTGTCCTTGTTGAGAAAGCAAAGGTCATCATTGGCATTATTCTCGATGGGGTCGTGGCAGCGGGTTTGGTCCCGAATCTGAAACATGGCAAGACTGAACTCCTGATCGACATCCGTGGCAAGGGAGCTAATTCAGTGAAAAAGACCATTTATCATACAGACTACCAATTGGTGGTGCCTTCCAGATATGAGGATTATTCTCTGAGAATGGTCGGTGCCTACAAGCACCTTGGAACATGGCTTCAAAGTGGAGCGGGCATTGCTAAGGACCTTGCGGTCAAATTTGCGGCAGCGCATGACTTGCTCACAAAGTATAAAGGGCCAGTTTTCGGTAACAAGAAGATGCCACTTGACAAGAAAAGACAATTGTTCGAAATGATGATCATGAGCACCATTACGTTCAACGCAGCGGTCTGGTGTCCCAGGAACAAAAGACAAGGAGAGCAACTCATTGCATCCTTCATGAGGCTGTATAAACGGCTCTGTGTGCTGCACTTTGGCTCTGAGGCAATCAAGTGGGGGAGAGTGAGGATCTTGAATGAGTTTCACCTTCCGGACCCTGAAGTGACGATCTGCCAAGCCAGACTCAGACAGCTGCTCCAACGAGTCCAGGTGGGACAACCACACACATGGGCTCTTCTTCAGACTGATAAGCACTGGCAGGAAGTGCTTAATACTGACCTTTTGTGGCTTGCGGAATTCTGCCCTGAAGATGAGGTTCCATATCCCATTGAACAATGTTGGGAGGAGCTGGCTGCTTTCCTTTTGTCTTCACCAGGACGGTGGAAGAAGATTCTGAAGAAAGCTGTGGCTCGACATATTGGAACTAGAAAATTAGATGCAGAATGGAATGCATGGCATTCGACCATCACGCATGAAGTCCTACAGGCGGGGTTTGGACATCACATACCGCAAACACAGGGTGACCAGCACCACTATTGCCTAGCATGCCGAATGGTCTTTGCTCGCAGAAGTGCCCTTGCTGTTCATGCTTTTAAAAAGCACGGAAGAATCAACAAGGTTCGGGTTTTTGTGCAAGGTACCCGTTGCGAGTTCTGCCTTAAGCTGTATGACCGATACACTGACCTCGTCAATCACGTCAACCATTCCTCAGCCTGTTTTGGTTTCTACCGTAACCGAGGGCAGGTAGTTGAGTGTCAGCCAGGGGTGAACAGCAAGCAGGAAAACCAGAACCGAAAGGCCCTCCGAAGACCTGTTCTTCAGACTGAGGGGCCTCCATGTCCCCCAGTCCCAGAGTTGATCGACCTGGCCCGCAGTGAGCATGAAGAATTGAAGACTTGCTGGGAGCAAGCTTCTGAGTGCTTTGCAGGTAATGCGGACTGGCTTGACCAACTACGAGTTGCTACTTTGAAGACAACACTTTTCCACGAGGAAATTCTGCAATGCTTTGCGTCATGGTGGGAGGACTGGTGCTATCGGCACCAACACTGCCGACTGTCAGAGCTTGTGGTTTTCGGGCGATTTTCAAGTCTAGCTTCAGCAGACTGGTTTCTAAACAAAGATTCAAAAGAGCGAATGTGTTCTGATGATGCCATCAGATTCTTCGCACAAGAAGCCTGGACTTTCCAAGATGTGCTCTGGAGTCCAGCTCGATCAGTGCGATATTTTCCCCGAACGGTCGCGCATCTTTTTTCAGGAGAACGACGCAGTGGAGATGTCCAGTCTTTCCTTGAAGCAGCAGGCTTTGCTTCATTGTCAATCGATGTGGTTTTCGACCTTGAATGGGGTAATTTACTGAGGCCGGACACTCTTGTCCTTTTCCAGAAAGCTCTCCAAGAACGAGTACTCTTAGGCTTTTTAGCAGGTCCGCCCTGCGAAACATGGAGCCGTGCAAGGGCTGTCGCATGTGCGAATGGGCCGAGAGTGGTTCGTTCCAGGAGTCGACTTCAAGGGTTGAAATGCCTCACACAGAAAGAGATGCGACAGGTGGCAGTTGGCAATCAGCTTCTAGGGGTAACCCTGGTCCTTGTCTGGAGCGCCATAGTCAGTGGTGCTACTGCTATAGTAGAGCACCCTGCAGAACCAGCAGACCAAAGCTTGCCTGCCATTTGGCATCTTGATGTCACGACCTTCTTTTTGAGATTCGCATGTTGCCAGAAGATACGAATCGAACAAGGAAGGTTTGGGGGACTTTCCCCCAAGCCTACTGATCTCCTGATCGTTCATGGCCTCGCTGACACGGGCGGATTTTTTGTTGAAAATCGGACAACGCCACTGCCACGGACCACACGGATTGGCCGAGACTCGGATGGGAGCTGGAAGACAAGTGTTCTAAAGAGATACCCGCCAGATCTCTGCAGAGTTTTTGCAGCTCTTTTCGATGTCTGTCAACCAGAAAACGAGTTGATGGAGACTCCTCCACCCTGGTTCACAGGAGCAGTAGAAAAGTTGATGGCCCACTTTGATAGCGAAGCTACAATGGGACCAGATTACTGCCCTGGAGCCTGGAAGGGGTGATTGCAAATTCGGTGCACGTTTGTCACAAGCTATACTTTGAGATTCTCTCTATTGTTGATTTGTTGGATCCATTGAGAATCTAGATTGAGAGAACCCCAAGGCAGAGATTCCAAGTGGAGATTATCGCTACATACACTTACTGGAATGCGCAGTTTCAGAGATGGTATTACCCCCAGACCCCGATTGACTACTGTCCACATGATTTGTCATATATCACAAAGTGCAATGACCCTTAACTGCGAGGACTGCCTTGCAGGTCTGAGGTGAGCATTCAAAGTAAGCACTCATGGACACCATGCAACAAATTTTCTGTTTTCCTCAAACTTCTAGGTTGGAGGCCATCGCTCACAGAACCATCGCTCTTAGGTTGTTGGAGGCCATGGCTACCAAACTGGTGTGATTGGTCGAGGGCGCATCCACCACTGTTCGACTCCCAACATTCCATCCACTCAGCCAAACCAAGCCATTCATCCAGGGAACTGCCTTTGAGGGTTTGGTGCAAAGCTGCAGCAGGAGCCCTCAGAAGGGATCAGGATTGCAAGGGGAGGAGTCCGGGATGTTCAAGAAGATACAAGGAGATGTAGGAATTGATTTGATCAGCTGTAAAGATGGTCAATATGTCTCATATACATCAAGCAGGTGATGTAGGGATGCATTCATCACATGCTCCCAGCAAAGGTGTCAGTAAGGCAGGTAGATTCTTAGATGCTGCATTTGGCTGAGGTGCTTCCGGCCGTTCCGAGGAGGCTGGTCTTTCTTGAGATGGTTTGCCACAGCATCGCTTGAAATGCGCTGCATACAATATTTCTTGGAGCAAGGACATCAAGATACTCGTACGTAGAGTAATTTCATGCATGCAGCATCCTGGGTGGCCTGAGATTTCATCTGAGTGTCCAGAGTTGCGCCGTTGACTCTAGACAGCATCGCTAGAGGCCGGAGGTATGAGAAACATCAGGTCTATCAGGAAGGTCTTCCTCTCTCCAATCATTGAAGTGACCTCTGCCCCGAAAGGAGTGACTGGTAGCATTTGGTAGCTAACTTGCATAGACTACATTGGTTTCTATGATTTGGAACGGGATTTCGGAACAGGCCACTGGGAATCCGTGAATGGAGTCCACGGCAGCCTCAACCTGACACTTGTCTCCACTGTTGGTTGAAGCATTGACACCGACTTATGGTGATTCGGTGTATCTCACTGCAACTTGTTTGGTGTTCTTCCAGGGTCCAGAGGGTGTGTCTTGTGTGTGTTTTTTTCCTCCCCCCCGAGCATGCACAATCAAGATCTTGAGGCTGAGCACACACTCACCATGTTTCACCTTAACCATTTGTGGTTCGCGTGGGCTCTTGCAGTCGACGGGTGAAATCAATCGCTCTTTTGTTGAGCGCTACCAGGTACTCAAAATGATCAGCTGGTGCAGGGCCGAAGCATTGTCCAGCACACGTTGCATCGCAGCCCGCGGGAAAAGTCCTCAAGGTTGCAAGGACCGTCGACCATAACTATGCCAAGGACGCTACTAGGGGCTCCTGGCATCGCTACTAGGAGCAAGGACGCTACTAGGGGCTCCTGGCCTTACTACTAGGAGCAAGAATTCTACTAGGGGCTCCTGGGCTTGCTCCGCTCATGTTTGTTGAAAGGACCGTCGACCAAACATTTGAAGCCTCAAAAGATTCTCACGGCCGCACGCGGGCCAGCACGAAGTGTGTTCTACATGAACATGGTTATGAATTACACAGGCGTGTTCATCGTGTGAGAAAAAACCATGATTGAATCTTTTGTTTACTCGGCCTTGTGTTGGAATTGTGCCAGTAGACACTTACTGTTCCTCGTTTTAACCTTGGCGTCCCACTTGATAAATACCTAGATGGTTTATACAAAGGCAATATTTTGTTGGTGGTTGCAGGTGCTGAAATCTGGGTCCAAAGCCCTGTGCCCGGCCCCAGATGGAAATTGCAACACAAATGCAATTGAACAGAGGATAACACTTGCTCTTAAGGTGAAATGTTTTAACACATTATTAAACATGGATTTGGCTCTTGTTTAATTCATTGTTCAACTAGAGTGGTCTTGAACTTCTCAATGTTCTTTTCCAGCAAAACCACACAAACTCAAATTCATGCTCCAATCCACTTATATAAGTAAGTGTGCGAAAAACCTGCCTGTGGTAAGATGTAACCAGCTGTACCTGCAACGAACTGGGTTGGTTTTTAAGTCGGACAAGATCGACAGTTGTAGCCTTGGGACTTTCCAGATCTTCCAGCCTTGGGATTTTCCACTCCATGGCCCCCGTATGACACACAGAGTTCTTTTCATGTTGCATTCTTTTTTGGCAGGTGTTCAAGCATGTCCAGACTACCCCAAGCACTACTGGTAAGCCTAAAGGCATGATTAAGGAATATGATCCCGTCCAAAGAACAGTGAAGACATCATCATATTAATACTATGCACAACATGTGTGGCACGCTGCACACAACGTTTGCGAGTATGGAATCAGCTCATGGAGTTGCTGACATGGGATGAGCTGCCGGTGGCAGAGTCTCTAGCCTGAAGTGTTGAGACTCCATGAGACGACCTGCTCCTGCTATTGGTAGAACCTGCTAGAACTGAGAGTTCACCAAATGGTCTCACGTAGAGCCTCAAGATTGTGTTGTGTTGAGGACTTATGAGAGTCATGTGTTCCATGATGGAATTATGATTCCAATGACATGCCACTTGCTGCGGATGAGCTATCCAAGATCCCTGCGGGTCCCTTCCCTTGCTCCCGTTCGCAGGTGCGTCTGGTTGTGCCAAATCTTCTGGATCCTATGTGATATTCAACCAAAACTTCCTAGTCTAGTAATTATTAGAAGAGCCAGATAGTGTATACTCTTGAGCGGGAGATATGCCAAGGATCATACAATACAACCACAGGTGAACAATTGCACCCCGCGTGCCTGGTTGTGTTCGGATTTACAAGGGGTCCAGGTGTTGCTTTGACCAAGCAATTTGGCATGTCATGCATGGACACCCTTGAATTGGGCATCATTGGTTTTGGCACCCGTCCACAGCAAGTGCATTCTTTTGTTTAGCTCGGGCTTCCAAAGCTTGATATTTTTTGGTTGCTTTGTGATCTTTGTGTTTGCATCTCTAGCTGTCTTTGGACCCTGTTCCACTCCCTCGCCTGCCCAGGCGCGACCGGTGCTCGCGCGGACGGACCCTCGCGGCCGCGCTCCAGCGGCTGGGCTTGGCGGAGCGAACGGAGCTCACGCTTCACCTGGTAGGAGCGGACGCTACGAACGGGGCTCCTGACCCAACCGGGGCTCACCGGCGCCGGCCCCCCAGTAGAGTCGTCGCCGTCGCATCATCCCGTGAGTCGTAGCGGCTGAAGTTGCATGAGAGGTGTGTTCCATCAAAATAAGAGCGGTTCCACGCAAAACTGACGCTGAATGGCGATTGATTCAGGACCCGATCGTCACTGAAACGCCACGAACAAAACCGTCCATTTTAATTTTGCACAATTTTGCCAGACTGGCGTACTATACAATTTTCCTGTTTGACCACAGAATACACCGTATGCTGCTTGAATAGCCGCTAGTTGGACCCACAGAGTGGTCTAAGTCAAATAGCTTCCCATAAATCCTCTCCAAGTCGCCATTGCACAACCCCTGTCCCCTTTTTCAAATGGGTTTTGGACCCTCCAGGCGCCCAGTGGCGCGAGGAGGGTGGAGACCTTGGCAGCGTCCTGGGGCTCACCGCGGAGCCGCTGCTGGCGTCCCAAGCTGCGCCCGGGCTGAGCGTGCTGCGGATTGGACTGGCGGGTCCAACGGCCTTGGATTCGGTGAGGTCGGTGGGGAGATGGGTTTTCTGCGACGGAATGGCTTGCAATCGACGGACGGATGGTTGGTCGATCTTTGGGGAAGATGAACGCTGCCGAAACCTAAGCAGGCCGCAACCCTGACAGGGGCTGATGATTTCAACTGGTGCATGTTTAAATGGGTAATGTTCATAGCAGCAAAGAGTGTTTTAAATCGATGCTGAACTCAGGGTTGATCCTGTGAAGCTTGCTTTTGGCTGCTTTGCTTGCAAGTTCTTGTACCAAGCCATGGGCCATCACAGCCTGAACAGGAGCGAAGATTCACGCGATGCTTCTGAGATGCTGGGAGACCTGCAAGTGGAGATCCGTCATCGTGCAGGGCTCTACCACGAGGCCAGGGCTCGTCCCAGATGTGGCCAAACCACCATTCGGTGAGTGCGGCTGTAAGAGCCTGAGAGGGACGAAGAAACAGTCCTGGTCGGTTCACTGTTTAGTGGGAGCTGAAAAGATATCAGATTTTGGAGTTGGTCATGAAATTTGGCTTCTCCGTCCGTTTAACATGACACGCTGTGCTGCTGTACTTGTTCTTATTGCGCGAGCATGGGCCGGTGGCTGAAGGTGAGTTTTGATGACTGGCCTGCGCCAGAGCCTCCGAAGAGATCAGACGTGATGCCGTTCCGAGCTGCTGTCGATGGCCCTGGGAGACAGGAATCAATCATTGACTTTAAGAGTTCATTTGTCCGTTTGCCACGCTTTATGCTTTGTTTGAGTTTGGTTTGTTGAAAGTGTCTCAAGAGGGTCGTCCAATAGGACCCCCAGGACGGCCCGGCAATATCTTTTGAGCTGGATTGTCGGCTGCAGTAAGTTTTCCTTCATTGAAATATGGAAACTCTTCATCATCATACCTTCTCAAGCACATGAAGGATATTTGTGAATGCCAACTTATATACTTGTACTTTGAACCAGCAATTGATTTGTGTTGTCACGGTGTGGTGTTCCAAAGGTGGATATGATTTTCACAAAACCATAGATCAACCCAATGGGCGATCTATACATTAATGGCAAAAATACAAGTGTCATCAGGTGTCTAGTATTCCCTCAAAGAAACTAACATATAATATGGTCTAGCTCCACTAATTCCAAATTCGACAAAGCCACTCTGGAACACACCACTCCTTCCCAACGCCTTTCCACTCTAGATCGCATGTTGACACTTCAGCAAAGCTCTTGCGGCAAGGTAGGACGACTAGTTATTTGTCGTATCCAGATCGTTTTGAACCTCGCAGATTGGAAGCCACTGATGGCACCATCCTAAGCCAACATGAAAAAGGTCATACCTCTGCAATACTATCGATAGAGGCCCTCAACACTCTCAATTTGGTCCGGAAAAGGCCAAAACGAGTCAAACACGTCTCTTCATTCCGAACATTGGTTCTTTTCCGCACGCCACAGGCAACTGAGTCGGCACTCGGCACTCAGGATTTGGTTTGCGCCTTCCAGCCGGGATTTTGGGGCTATGACACCTGGGAGCTTTCCGTCCAGCAGGCTCTTGCAGAGGCCCCCTTGTCACTTCGAACAACACCAGAGGAGGGCTCTTTTGTGCACCGAAACGGTGGTCTTTGTGCTGCAGAAAAAGGGTCGAAGCTTCTGTGATGGATGTAGGATTCGCTGATTTCCTTGGCTGTCAAGACATCGACCCCAACAATTAAATGATGATTTTGGCCCACTGATGCCTACTGTAGGCGTTGCGCAAAAAGTGTATGTTCACTCAGCAGGCCTCACCAGATCACCAGGCCTCACCTTTTCGAATGCCTAGGCTTGTGACAAGCTACAATGAAGAGGAGGCCGAGGAAGAGTGACTCGACCGAGCGAGGAGACAGATGCCTTTGTCTTCACTCAGAAATCGATTTCGAAGAAAACTAAGGGAACTGTGCTATGGGGGCCATGTTCATATGATGATGATGATGATGATGATGATGATGATGATGATGATGATGATG